CGATGAAAGTGAATCGAATCTACTAACACAGATTTTCGCGTGCCTTTCGAGCTAGTACACGTGTCGTGTTTTCAATGAAATGGAATCGCGGAGCGCGAGTGCTTCGAACGTGGAAAGAGAAGCAGAAATTCCGAAACACGGCAACGGGGAATCACCTTGAGAAGTTTCATTGCCAAGATGCTGCTTAAGAAACGGTTTCCACACGCTTTCAGGGACATGGCGTGTAACTTTGTATGTTTTGCTCGGTTAAGAGAATTAATTTAGATTGCGTGTCAAAGAGAATTTATTTGGAATATAAAGAATATTTTATGTGAGACGATCTTCATAAATATCATAGATCATTTAGTGCGGCTTTAAATCATTTGAATTGAAAAATCTCCAAATGAGATCACGTTCGAACGTTACAATGTCATTGGAAGATTTCTAACGATTCACATGTAGTAGGTACAATTCTGATTGAAGGTGGATTAAATGAACGAATGATATTCGGTTGGATCAATAATAAAAACAGAAAGTCACGTGTCACTAATGGCAGGAACCAATGCCCTCGTACTAGTCATTTCGAATGCAATCTTTGTGATAGCACTAAAAGGCTACGAGGCCCTTGTCGAGGTTAAGGCCTTCGAAGTCGTAAAAAATGATGACTTGTAGCATATTAATTAACATAGTCGACATTGTTACGCTGTTCTTAAAAATTTTTAAATTGCTTTTTTTTAAAATTTTTAAGTTGCCGTATTGGCAAATAAGAATTTATTGGCAGCTATTCGAAAATTATCCGTGGATCATTGATTCATCGTAACTCTAATGTTTCTCGATAATTCGTCGACTTTTCTCGACAGCAAAATTAACGCGTAAATTTAGATCCGCCGGAAAGTCATTCAACGATGAATACACGCGAAACTATTTAATCTTATACCAACCAATTTGCGTCACGCAGTCTAAAGAAAAACTACCATTATGACAAAATAAATTGTTTTGCATGTAAATTTGACAAACTTTAGATTCTTACTAGAAATTTCAGCAAAGAGTATTTGTCTTTGATCCACCTCTGTAGAATGATTAAATTACAATTATTGAATTGAATTCTACACTTTTAATTAATGTTATCGAACCTATTTCTGTCCCATTTTCTTCTTTAACAAATTTCTATCCCATTTTACAAATGGAATTGAAACGGCACAATTTAGTTATGATAATCTCGATTTGTTAACAATGACCAAAATATAGAAAAGAAATGTACTCACCATTGCACGTGACGATCAAGCAGAGCAAGACCAGCCGGATCGTCATTTTGGAGAACGCGGAGGACGTCATCTCCGGCACCGCATTTATCACCGTGAATCCTCGAAGGATGATCGTAGCCCGGTGTTTCGCAGGAGCAATCGAGCGCGTCGTTACACACGTGTACTGTCGTCGAAGTGTATGGTCGCGTGCGATTTGTACCTGCACGACGATGACGCATGTAAAACCCCCCCCCCTCCGTGTCACCGTTTTACAAGTGTGTAAACGTTCGCTCTTCCGACGCCTTCGACTTCTGCGCCCCTACACTTTTATATCTTTCCCTCGATAAGTCGTTCCTCCAACAGTTCCTTCTGGGTGAACAGAACGATCTCAAATCCTCTGTAATATAATTTTGTCTCCCTTCTTCTCAACTCTGAATGTTGAGATATTCACGATCGAACGATCTTCCCCGCTGGCAATCTTCTCTTTATTCCCTTGTCAATCCAGGCTTCTTTGTCTAAATCGAAGAACATGGGATTCCATTAGCGTTGGAAGAGATTGAGGAACAAAGGATTTTCCATTACATTTACGAAAGAGAACGAAGATCGCAGGATTCTATCAACGCTGGAAGAGTAGAGATTCAACGCTGAGAGGAATGTGCCATAAGAAGAATCGATAAGGATCTCGTTGATAACCGGAAGGACGGTCGTGTCTGCGCGTGAAAAGTACTTGACTTCTGTGGATCGCGTGGAAGGGAACGGTGCCGAGAACACGGGAGAAACCGGTGTGACGCGAGGTGGCTAGGATTTTTGCCCTGGCTACTTGACTACCGAAGCTGGCTTGCTAATTTATGACGTAGTTCCGTTATTGCAACGTGACGTTGATTCGTACGCAGCAACCTCCAGCTGGCCCCAAGATAACCGTGATTTATTGTTCCTATCGATTCGTGAATGGAAACGAACGTGACGTCGATACGATAATCTTTTACGGGGATCGTAAATCGTCTAGTCGAACAGTTTGATCGTGCAACACGTTTATCAGAGCTTTCTACATCTCGTCAGTGAGTCATGTTTTCTGGTTCTTTCAACATTTTTCAGTAAAATAGGATAGGGAATTAATGATAATTCGTTTAAAATCGTTTCGTGGAATATTTCCTTGCACCTTCTCGGGCATCGAGGAATTATCTTGTGGTTACAGTTGGAAGAGCCATTCCTATAAATAATGCTCGTGAGACGTCGATTATTATTATTAGAAATAATAACAGGAAGGACGATTATTGAATTTGCACGGGTAAATATTAATCGATTCGTGTTCAAACTTCACAATGCGCAATGATTTATGAAAGGAAAGAACAGTTCCGCAATTGTACATGTTGTACAAAAAATCGAGCGTATCCCAAAGATTAGAAAGACTGGAATCGCGGCGATCGTTTCAAATATCGAGCAACGTTGACTCATATTTTAAACGAGACACGAATAAAAAACAGTGTCTGAGCGTCGATCAATGAACGTCTACGATCAGTGATCTATATCGAGCACGAGGTGAAAGAACAGAGCGTTTCAAACGATTTGTATGACAATTGTATCGCGAAATCAAGCGAAAGGAAGCTCGATCGAAAAGAATTTGCCAACTTCTTCTTAGGAAATCGAGTAACGACGATCCACGGTCGTCGTAAACGACGTTGAATATTAATATAGATTAATGACATGTACTGTTGCCAGAGAAAAATCGTGGAAGTTCGAGAGAGATCGCAAACAGTGCTTCGTGGCTCGATCAATTACGCTTCCAACATGTCACAGTTACTCGAGCATGAAGTAACACCGCGTCGTCGAATATGTGTCGCGGCAATTACCATATAATGGAGCGCACGGGATCGCGAAATAATCGGCCGCCGCTAAAAATAACGATTTAAGAAAGCGACCGGGCGAGCCTAGCGATCGAGCGAGCTAGCAAGCGAGCGTTCCCGTATTTCCTTGAACTTTCCGCGAACGCGAGTAACGGAATCGGTCGGGTGATTCACCGAGTCTACGAAAATATCGAAACTCTGTCTGGAACGAAATAATGGAAACTACGATACGGAACGTACGTAGCACGATTTCCCGCGTGTACGCGCGTTCCTGTTCGCGGCAGCTCATCCTACGCAAATAGAAAGGCAAAAACTCGACGAATATTTCGAAAGTCAGATAGAAGAGCGCGTTTCGCGTTCGTTTCGCGAATGTGCCGCTTCCCCTCCGGATTGTTCGAATTTCACATGCACATTCTCCGATCGATTCCGTCGAGGAGATCTTCTTCCGCCAGCACGTTTCTCCCTTGCTCTCTCGCGAGGTTCTCCCGCAGTGCACCAGGAATCCTCGACTCATACACCAAATTCACATGGGATTTACTCACTGTCACTTGACGGGAGGATCTCCCTTCTTTCGGCAGAGTATCCTCACTGTGGTCGAAACACTCGTCGAAGAGACATAGACGTGAACGCACGGATGAAACTTGCGTGGGGACCGGTCGGTCGGTTCGTTCCAGGCCTTCCCAATTCCGATCGTGCCACAATGTGATTGTGCGTGTTTGCGAAAGAGAAAAAAGTAGAATTCCGATCGCTCTTATTCGATTTGCTTTGTGGCACCTATGTGACTCACTGTCTCGCGAACAACGATCGCGGATATTATCCTTGGTACGAGTCGCAACGTGGAAAACGGCCGGTTATGAGTACCACCAAGTACCGAAGGAAGCAAACGGAGTAATATACAACGGAGGGAAACGTCGGAGGGAATCCCCTGGAACTGTATACGGTCGCGTGCTCGACGGTGAGCGCCGTGAGCCGACTGCAACAACTGCAGACGCTTGGACGGATGATGGTCGCCGGTCGGCGTCGTTGTCGTTGTCGGGTATATCGGTGTCGAGCCCGTCGTATATGCGCCTCCGACTTCGGGACGAGCAAGTGGGGGTCCAATGTTACCAGGGTACGCAACGACGCCAGGAGCCCCTACCAGGGCCGAGACTCGTCATCCGTAACTCCACCTTCCACCTCCCACTTGACTCACCTGCCTCATAGGGAAACGTTCAGGATTCCCTGCCGCGATCAGGTGTATCCGGGGAATTGTTTCGACGCACCCTTTCGCCGGCTCTCGCCAAGGGATCGTCGTTGAACATTGGAATGTTGCTGAACATTAGGTTCTCCGCTACGCTTGAGCATCGTTTATGTTACAACTTGTCGGAAGGCAGACAGTTTATATAATGATAGCTCGTTCGTACTCTCCGCCACCTGTTACTTTCCGATCGCTGACACTTTTTCGCTGATCATTATTTTATAGCGATCCGAGCATTTCGGTCATCATACAGGGAGTCATGGCAACCTGTGATATCGAGAAAAATCGATTGCTTCTCAATCTGAGATTTTAATAACATTCTTGTGTAAGCCTGTCTAAAATCAATTGACTGTCCAAGGACATCAAAGAGCAAAGAATTACTTCTGACGTCAATTAGAGTCACGGAAGTATACCTCTGAATAGGTAATTAATTTTGGTTATCTATGTATAAGCCTTCTGCGAGCAAGGAATACGAATATCGCTTAGTACAGCTACGTAATTGTATTAATAGCTTCTAAAGCGGACAGTGATTAGTTCTCTTCGTCGGACTTGGAGAATGGTAATAACTATTGTTCAGAGTCTGTGTTGGTCAACTTCATAAATAAATACTGTTTTTCAAAAGTCTTAGGATTTACTATTATGTACGTTGTATCCTGGCACTGAATGAATTTAGTGGAAATGAATTAAGAAATTAATGAAAAGTAGAGCTGATTAGCTTAATTAGTTCGTCCTCTGAGAGGCTCGATTATGCTGTCGTGACCGATTGTTGGCCTAAAAATCGATTTTCTGTCGGCAAAACTAAGTGCGGACTAATTTGCGGACTGTTCCAATGGGTCGTATGGCAATTAACCATTGTATTTCCTAAATGCATGGGTGAAACGGCAAACAATTCAGATGCCAACAAACGACACAGCGTAAATCGCCGCTATAGTATTGGAACGACAGGTAGCTCGAATGGTAGCAAAGTGATACGCGCTGGTACCAGAACCCGCGGAACCAATAGTCCGCATAATTACACGCGGTTACCTCTACTCTTGGTCGATATTTCCATCCAAGTTATCGGTGTCATCGGACACGCGGCTTTTATCACGGTGGTTCGCGAACGTGTACGCGTTCGATGCAATGTGTCGATGGCAATCGATACGACATACATTTCACCTCAGCGTGCAATTCGACCATGACCTCGAAACAATTGTTCCATTCTTTCGATACGATCTGCCGCCATCGTGGCTTCTTGTCGTTTCAAAACAGGGAAAAGAAGGTGACTAACCGAGATCCTAATGAGAAGCTAACACTGACCTAATCAAGGATAAATTTAATAGATATATTGTAGTAGTACATCAGTGGTGAATGCTAGTTTTATTGTTCATTATTTACATCATTCCTTCATATAACAAGGAAGTCGACGAATGGACCTGAATTTAACATATAAATTCAATTTCTGTTTTGCTACGAAGATGTTCTGTTCTTCAACGAAAATCACTGCAGTAGCATTGCAGAAATCACAAAGTACAATAAAATTATTTTTCAACTATTCTTTTCGAGGATACATGTATCGACACTCGCGTAGTCACATAGAAAGGCAAAAGAAGGAAAAAGGAAATTAAGAAAGCGATTAATTGGAAACCAGTATGACGTGTTCTTTGATCTTGCTAGACTCACGGTTTATGAATGAAAGGATCACTCAGCGCAGGATATTTCGGAATTGAGTGAGTAACAAGCCGGTCGATGATTAATTCTGTCATTCTTCATTGAGCAACGCTGATCATGAACCAAAGAAAGTATCAGTTATCTAATCAATAGTTTCTTACTCAAGGAAAATACTACTAGTCGTTTACAAAATTCAAAGGATCATGGCAGATCTTTGAGACTTCGTCTCAAGTTCATCGTGACATGTCTTAATACGTGCCATTTACATCGATCTCATCTTCAACAATGGGAATACAGGTGCACCTATATATGCGGCTATAATCACGGTATTTGCACACTCGTTGACCTTGTAAGTATTCGTATCGCTCCATGGAACCTTGAACTTGCACGTTGAAAAATTTGATACGAATATGGAAGAAGATCGAGTCGATGTTTCGATTCTCGACTAGACACGGTTAGTTGATCATCCTCTTATTACATAATCACCTCCTTATAAGCCAAAATGATCAGGTGCACTTTTTGCAAGTTTTGCTATCTAGATGCATCTTTAATACTTAT